TAGGCATACCTGTGAGGACATGTGTCTAGATTTGTTACCTGAGGGGTCACCTGTGAGACGAACCTCTAGGCATACCTGTGAGGACACGTGTCTAGATCTGGTTAACTGGGGTGGGAGCCCCGCCTTAACCCAGGTGGCGCTATCCCATGGCTGAAGTCCCACAAAGAGTCAAAGGAGAAAGTGGGGGCCGGAGAGCTCGGCACCTGAGAGCCGACACTGCTCGCGCAGAGACCTCAGTTTGGTTTCTAGTGCTCACACCAGCAGCTCACAACCACCTGCAGCTCCAGTCCAGGGGATTCACTGTCTTCCTGGGTACCTGAATACATGTGCACGCGCTAACACAGAGACTCAATAAAAAGAAGCAAATGTTTCCATCTTTGAAACAAAAAGGAGAAAGTGAGCTGAGCACCAGCATTCACACTGCTTCCTGAAGGTGGATGTATGTGGTAGTTGTCTCACACTCTTGCCACCACACTTTCCCAACAAACTGTGAGCCAAACTGTGAGCCAAACTGTGAGCACTTCTCTATTAACTCCGGGCCTTACGGTATTTATTTAAGGGGAGATGGAACCTAAGAGCACTGACTGATCTTCCACAGGACCCTGGCTCAATTTGCAGAACCCACAAGGAAGCTACTAACTAGCTCTAACTCCAGTTCTAGGGGACCTGGATTCCAGAGGCACTTCAGGCACATGCTGCAGATATACTTGCAGGCAAAACACCCACACACATAAAATAAATTTATTTTTTTTTTTTTGAGATAGGGTTTCTCTGTGGCTTTGGAACCTGTTTTGGAACTCGCTCTGTAGACCAGGCTGGGATTAAAGGCATGTGCCACCAATGCCCAGCTTATAAAATAAAAAATGTAAAGATATTTAAAATGTCTTCTTTTTTTTTTCTTTTTTTTTTTTTTGCATGGGTATGTGTGGTATCTGTGCATGTGTGTGGATGCATGTGCATGCATATGTAGAGGACAATGGGGTGACCTCAGTGTCTTCCTTTATCACTCTGGGCCTTATGTGATTAGGCCAAGCCTGTCACCTGATTTCTTGCTTGCTGATTTCACTGTCCACCGAGCGAGCTCACTCAGAGGATGCCGACTCCATCTCCTGAGTGGATTACAGGTGGACCATCATGCCTACCCAGCATTTGTGTGGGAGCTGGAAACCCAACTCCAGTCCTCATCCTTTCATAGCAGATGCTTCATCCACTGAACCCCTAAAACTGTCTTGTGATACACCCCACTCCGCTCCTCCTAAAACTCCTTTCTGTAACAAAGTGAAGCCCAACTCTGGTCAGCCTGAGCGGAGATTCCTAAAGGTGAGTAAGGAATCCCAGGGTGACAGAGTGGGCTTGTGCCTGAATCCCAGTTGCCACCGGCAGGAGGACAGGCATTAGCCTCTTCCCCAAGAGCATGCAGAGCTCACAGTGGACCCGGAAAACAATCAAAACTGCTTTCATTGGATTTGAGGCTCATCAGGGGGTCCCTGATGCCCATATCGAGAGGCAATGTGCCCTCCTGCCCATGGATATCTTCCCTAAAAATGGCTCTTAAAAAAAGTCTTCTACACGTGTATATGATATGTGTGTGCGCGCGTGTGCGCGCGCTCGCGCTCCTATGTGTGAGTACGGACATGTGTGGAGATCAGAGCCTACCTTCCAGTGCTGGTTCTCACCTTATACCAGGGACTCCTGCTGATCACTGCTGAGGATGCCTGGCTACCTGGACCTGCAAACTTACGGGGCTCTCTTTTCTCTGTCTGCCACCTCACCACTGGGATTACACATGCTCACGGCCTATGTGGCTTTTCCATGGGTCTTGGAGATCCGAACCCGGATTCTCAGGCTTGTGTGTCAAGTGCTTCACCCATGAGCCATCTCCTCACCCCGACTCTTCTTGCTAAAATCGCAGCCACTCTCCAGAAAGGCCCTTGGGGGCTGGGGGATGATGGAGCAGGCTCTATGTCCCATCCACTCCCAACACTTCCTTAAGCTCTCCATTTTGATTCCCACACCAACCGTGCAAGGCCTGGACACCCTCTTCTCACCCACCGCCTTGGCCTCAGGTGTGCTCTCCATCAGGTCCTCCACCATGGCCACCAGAGCCTTGCCGCTGTCTGGGCTGTGATCTCGGATCCAGGTGTAGAACTCTCGGGGCAGGATGGTGAGGAACTGCTCCAGCACCAGCAGCTCCAGGATCTGCTCCTTGGTGTGCAGCTCAGGC